ATCAAGAACATTTGGTTTTGCTCTTGCTCTTCTGTTCCCTTTCTTGTTGGCTTCAACGCGCTTGAAATACTTCTGGGCATGAGAAGCCACTTGTATTGCGGTTCTTGTTATCACACAGTGCCTAGATATACTTCTCCAGTCACCTTTTCCATATATATCTAAGCCCTGGAGAAATGACCTATAGCAGGAAAGATAGAGAAATAAGTCATTATCCCAAAAAAAACATTAAAACATAAAAATGACCAGACTCCCAAAAAAGACGAGTAAATAAACCCTAAAAAACTGTACCAGGAAACCAACCTGTGTTCCTCCTCTGTCCAAGGAGTCCCTCTTCGCCATTTAACATCTGCTTTCTTATTTTGGTTGGCATTGCTTTGCAGTTCTGGATAATTAGGTAATGGAGTGCCTCCAAAATCGATGGCATCGATATCTTCTAAAAGTATATTATAGTGATCCTTGATCTCATCAACTGTTTTTCCAGGAAGTGCTTCTTCCATCTTTGTGAGTAGATTGTTATCGTTAAAGTATATCGCTAGGATATTCTCAAAGATTTTGTCCTCCTCCCTAGTCCAGAAGGAGCTATTGCATGTCCTGTCGGTGCTCATTTTCTTTTAGATCTGCAAGGAAATATCAATCATGAAAAAGGGAAGTACTTGAAGAGGATTCAGAAAATGGATGAGTGTCAATATATGATAAAAGCAACCATAAATATCGTACATCTAAAATAAGATTTTTTGTAAACCCTGACGTTTAGTAAAGAAAAACAATAAGAGAAGTAATAAGTGACTGGTAAACTAACAAACATGAAGATTCAAGTGGTATACTACCCACATAGGTTCCCAGAGATACGACATATTATGCAAGCATCTACGTTCTTTAGATTATCTAATGGACGGAAAGTTTTATAATAAGAAAGAAGACTACAAAGAAGAAAATTATTTGTCTGAAGATAAGAAAAAATTATATCACAGAAATATATATCTATGTTCTTGTGAGTGACGCAAAAATAAAAGATCTATGACCCTGTACCACATAACGGGAAAGAATTATGTCAATCCAACATATGTTATCAAAAGAAATCAATCCTCATTTGTTAAGAGTTTCACAATAAGAACATTATTCAAGAGTAATACCTGACCAACTTTCTCTCCTAAAAAAAGTAGAAATTTAACAAGATGAATATAAGCAATATCAAAGAGGAAAGTGTCATTTCGCATTCCTTCATAATCTACCCCAGTCCAAGAGTAAGTCAATCATTATGATGCAGTTAATACATCCTCTCTGGTATTTTCTTGTTACATTTATACAACTTGAAATAGCAAATCGAAAAGGAAAACACATATTCCCTTGTCATGCAATCTAACTATTTAAAACTAGTTAGTGTGCAATGATAAATTATATCCAAGGCAACACATTAAAAGGAAAGCTATACAAAGCCTTATTTTTCCTTTTTGAGGAACACTCAAATCTCTATACATTAACTTTCAACAACGGAAAGCATTTTAAAGAAGAGTCCTTGGAAAAATGTTGACACAATTTTTCTCTCCTAAGTAAAATAGAAACAAGATGAATCTCATGATATTCATCTCTTCAGAATCTACCTCAAAACAAATATCTAAATTAATCATTTTCTGATTGGCTGCAAACTGTTGTTCATTTAAATGGAAGATTTATAGAACCAACAACAACATATCCAATTAATCCCATAAGTGAATTTTTGGGTATGGTATAGTGTACGTAGACCTTACCCCTACCTTGGGAGGTAGAGAGGTTGTTTTTCAATAGACCCTAGGCTCAAAGAAAAGCCTATCAAAGCAGATAAAAAAAGAGAATATTTGTGTAATCCCACAAGTGAGGTTTGGGGTGGGTAGAGTTTACATAAACCTCATGACACTTACCTTCAGTGGTAGAGGGACTATTCCCGATAGACCCTCGACACAAGGAAATAAAAATCAATTCAGATCGGAAAAGGAAATATTTAGAGAACCAACAAAAAAATCAAAGAACATACCCTGTGTAATCCCACAAGTGAGGTGTGAGAGGGTAGGTAAAGAACTACTTACGATAGACCATTAGCTCAAGGAAAACCATATCAAAGACGATCCAAAAAGGAAAGATCTACATAACCATGACAGCAAACCAAAAAAGGAAAGCCATAAAAGATCTTACTTTTTCTGTATGAATTATTTTCGATAGATCCTTGGCCAAAGGATAAGCATGTCAAAGTAGATCAAGAAAAGGAAAGATTTACAGATGCGTGACAACAAATCCAATCTTTTTTCGTAAAAGTCATATCTTTGTAAATTAATTTTCATAAACACAAAGCATGTTAAAGAACATTACCGTAAAATGCTGGCACAACTGAGGGAAGAACCTATGATCACAAAGCTAAGCACAGTCAAAGAAAGCTTTTGGATAAATCAACTTACAGGATAAGTATACAAGTATTCAAACACATACATATACATATATATAATCAAGAAAAAGAACTAGAGAATTTTGGGCAAAGTGATTAATTTCACACCTGCGATGTGTCCTTACAACAATTCCAAAGTTTATTGTACTTGTTAATACACCAAAGTATTTCTTTTAGGGCATTTCAACAATATTTAAGGAGATAAACATATCAAGATTACTGTAATCTAAATTTTTTTAACAGTTAGTATAATACAAACAAAAAAGTTTAAAATGTGCTGAGTTGTGCTACCTAACCTTCCAAAATACAAAAAAATGTTTTGAGGCTTTAAGGGACATATTGTTGTAAGGGATAAAGTCGAAGAGGGAGTGATCAAAGTGATAAAAAGGAAAAGCCTCCAAATCTTTATTTGTTTCCGTATATCTAGAGGCCAATTGTTTTCATATGTGATGGCCAAGTCGGGTAAGATATTCCCTAATAAAGACGACTTAGTATCCACGAGAGATAAGTTTGCGCTACCATTTTTTTTATGAATACAATGTATAGATACACAGTATACCATACATCATCAATTTGAAAGACAAACCTACAAACAAAAAAAGTAGGATATGGAAACCTAGAGCTATAATGAAAAGGTAAGATAAAAAATTATTAGATAATTTATTTTTTTGATGACTGAACACATTTTATTAAAAACATCTAGAGTATCATTACAACATCTCATACAACTAACCACAACCTGATCCAAAACCTATACAATTTCTCTTGTTTAATTTGATATATTCCCTCTATCGAATTCGAATCTTTTGCAGACAAGTTTGTGGAAACAATTTTTTTTAAATATTTTTAGGATGATCACCAGATAACAAGCATGATCCTGACACATATATTCATCGATCTTAGCCAATCTCTCCCCTGTCAACAGTCTTCTATGCATTGCAATTCAGCTAATGGGACTGTGCTTAGGGATATTTTAATAGCATTGCGTTCATTCATTTCCATTGTGGAGGAGGAGGTGGGGAATGATCCCAAGCATTGCGAGGGAGATTTTCACTAACACCAATTATAAAACTTGATTAATATTAGACCTTTTTAGTTCACATTTAAGAATATATGTTTTGTTAAGTTTGAAATAAAGTTGATTGAAATTCATTCATTTTAGTCGGATGTTTCAAGTTTTTAGAAAAGAAAACCTCCCAATAAACAAACTTTACAACATCCACTCACTCTTCTTTATAGCTTACAAATATGATTCCTAGTTAATTCTTTCAGCGAAATTATTAAGTACTACACTACAACAAATAAAGGATTTTGCGATGATTACTTTGCACCAATAAAATAATTGTCGTTATATTATATTCAACGGCAACAATTAATTATAAATGTCGCTTAAAGGAAAATCTATTGTCACTAAATGTCTCTTTTGTTGTAGTACTAGCGGACTTCAAATAGATCTGCGCAACTTGAAGATCACTGGATTGGGCCTTTGGGTTTTAAAGAAACCATGTAAATGTAATATCCCCAATTTCAAACAAGTTATCTCATGCAATACAAGTAAAAGTAACTTGATGGTGTAAAATTTACCTATACTAACGGAGCACATATCTTGAGCTTATAAGAACACAATCTAAAAGAAAAAATTGATATCATCAAGATTCCAAATACCATCAAAACTTCCTTGCCCACACGCACACTACCAAAAGAGTAGAAAAATTCATCTACAATAGATATTTTTCTGAATAATTTTTTTTTTGCAAATGGTAACATCAGAGTAAGATTGAGCAGCATCCATTAGAAGAACAATCTGTAACATCTGCTTCTATCTCACCAATCACTTGGGATGCTCTTTGTGATACCCGAATCACCTGAGTTGGAGTAAGAGAACAGAAAAGGTCTAAGAATGCCCTTAAACTATGCAGATTGAACAAAACCGTTCAATTTTGCATAGTTTAAGTGCATTTTTTTGTTAGGACCGAAATAATTAGGTGTAATGCGGAATTTAGCAAAGCAAACCTCAAAAGACCATGAGTAAGAAGACAAATGAGAAATATACCAAAAGACACATAGATTTAACATGGTTCGGTCAATCGACCTATGTCCACAAAGGAGATGAGCAATCCACTATAAATATGAGAGTACAAAATATAGAGAGCAATAACTTCAACCAATTCACTCGGAATACATGAGAGGTTTACACAAGTGATAACATATCACTTGTCTCCCACATATTCTCCCCCTACCAAAAACTCTCAAAGCCCTAGGACTACATTGTGAATGCTGATTACGTTAGAAGGAACAAACCTCTATTTATAGAGTCCTAAGCCTTTTCCTACAAGAAAATGACTAGTCAATTCTAAATCTTTTCCTAAAAGGAAAACCTATTTATGATAAGAAGCTCACGGGAAATAAAATCCAACATGTTTTTACCCTTTTTCCGTAAAAAAAAGAGTACTGCAAACATCAATCCACATTGGTGCAGTCACAACTCTTTAGAAAAGTCACAACTCTTCATAAAAGTCACAACTCTTCATAAAAGTCAGAATTTTTCACAAAAGTTACAATTCTTCATTTTTCATTCACACATTTTAAAACCAAACATATAATTCCACGGCACCAAAAGAAGAAACAATAAACAAGGAAAATTAATTTCAATTGCAATGCAACATTACTATTCTTGCGCCTCTTACTCCACAACTCATAACGTTGCTGGAATGATTGATATTCATAACATTTGGCTCTTCAGTAAACAAAACTTCTATTTCTTCCACTATTATTTGTACGGTTTTTATAGGGGATTCGAATTCAAATACATTAATTAAGCTTCTTATGAAGTGTGTTTCATTTCTTAAAGTTTCCTTCCTCCTATTTCATAGTAATTCATGTAACTATTGCAATTTCTTTTTGCTATTTTGGAGACTTTTTTTCTTTAACTTTGTTAAAAATCACAACAAGGATGATTGAAAATTGATCTTCCTTTTTGTCCCTCTCTACATGCTTCTTCTATATATTTTGGGAAAATTATTTTGAGGGTTGTGCTATATTTGATAGCACATAACAACAAATATGTGATAACTAATACGGAACCAATGGCGAAGTTTGTTAAAAGAACCAAACAAATTACTCTCTTGCTTGCCACAATTAGTATATAATTTTTTATTGTTTTATCTTAGGTAAGAACATTTTGTATGT